ATTCAATTTAGCTTTGGAATTTTTGTTTATTAATAAATCGTTAAGTTGGACTTACAATTAGTACTTGAATATTATAAAATGCATCCGTTTCACAAAAATTATCATTCAAAATTGCACTACAAAGCATGACTGGATGAATTAAAATTTGTTAATGTTTATGATTAATTCAGGTAACCTCCCAAATAGCCGGACAACATGGTGAAAAAGTTTATGAGAGCAAGGATCATGATAACACATTCATCGATTCACTTCCAGTTCAACTACAAATGGTACTTCATCATGTTGTGATATGATCTATCAGCTAACTGATGCTTACCTGTAAATTTAAATACAATCTGTTCTAATTTGATAATTACCTGATTCATCAATTATCATCACTGAATAATAAACAAAGCAATCATATTCATTGTGATTATTTCAAATTTCATTGATATTAGAGAAAGAAAATTTTGTTAACAATTATTTTATTATACAATGAAAAAACGGAGAATTTTTCTTACTTCAGGAGAGATGACATTACAATTATTTTTAAGGATTTTTGGAAGGCCTTAAACATTGATCAGTTTGTATTAAAACACAAGAAAGAAGCCTGAAAATATATTTTGTATAGGGCACAGTTCAAATTTCCTTACATTTATATTTCTTTACACTTTAGTGAATGATCACTTTACAAGAAGCAATTCATGGACTGTAAGTTAAAAATGTCTTTTTCTTAGCGTTTGAACATTTTGAAATGTGTTGATAATTTAAGCTTGCAGCTATTTTAATAAAATTAACGGCTGTAGAAATTTTGAGAATCACATAAAAGTTGTCACATTTAATCTGTTTGATGAAAAATTATAGTATTACTGTGATATATTTATGATATATAAGTAATTCTTCAACATATTTGTTCCACAATTTATTTCAATGGCAAGAAAGCATTTCAAAAAATTGCATAAATTCAACAAATAAATGCTTCAAATAGCTTATTACTACAAATCTGTACCACCTCAATTAATTTAAATTAGAAATTGAAATGCTATAAGCATTCAAATGCATTTTCTAATAAGCGGCCTTTAATGATGGTCTAGATATTTTAATTTATTTCTGTAATGATCAATAATTAATCTAATTATATGTTATAAAAGATTTATATGCTTTTTGCTCAAGCTATAATTACTTTCAAGATTTCCATTTATTAAAAAACTAATCAGTAAATAAGATAAATTTATCAAAATAAGAAGTAATGTTGTAATTTTGAATCTGTTACCGGTTAATCTCGAGAATGAAAGATTCTCGAGATTTTGATTTCAAAGATTGCTAGCATAAACTTTTTCCAATTTTTCTTTTTTCTACTCATTTTAAATATATTAGCACAGCTATATTTTGATAATTGTGAAAATTTTTCACTTGGAACATTTTATGAGAGCAAAAAACAAACTTGAAAGTATCATTTTTTGAAATTATATATTATAGCTTTTTAACATAGACACTATCCAAAAAGTAACAAACTTAAGTTTGAAAAATATTTGGAAAAGTTTTCTGAGCTTTTTTTTCTTTTTGTAATTTCTTCTATTATGTTTGTGTAACTAATTTTTGTTTTTGTTGTAATTAGAACAAAAAATAAGCAAAAAACAAATAATATCATTGCAAGTGTAAATTAGAATTATGAAATTTTAAGACAGACAAATACCTCAATAATTCATTGATTTTTATAGTTCTTTTTTCATTACAGTAATGAAATGAGAGATAAAAAAAATTAGAACTATCCATTAGCTATTATAGAAAGATTAGAAATTTTCGTTGCAACGATAAATGCTTCAGAAAATAATAATATTGTTTAAAATTGTGAAAAGTTTAAAGTTCAAAATATAGAAACTACTCAATTTTAATTATTCTTTCTTTTAATTAAAATGCTTTTAAGTGAAAGATTAGCATGGTAAAGGTAGTGCCAAATATGCTGAATTTTATTTCATTATTGTATATTGAAAATTATTATTGAGCAGTATTACATTATCAAGCAGTGATTTCCAAGGAGTCTGATATCACTGTTGTTAAACAAAGCGATCAGCATATCAGTTTTATTTTTTTTTCTTTTAGTATGATAATTAATCGTCAAGTGTTAATCATAGCTAGAAATTTAATTTACAACCAATAATAGCAAAAAATAAATAATATATCAAATACTTTTCTAAAATATTTTATAGCATTTCTTTGTTTTGAATAAATTGTAAACGATATACCTTATAAAATACCTGATATGGTAGTCTAAACTATTGGAATATTCATACTTTATATTATTACCATTCCTGCAACTATTATTATTATTATTATTATTGTTATTATTATTGAGATTAAAATCATACACTATTTATATTGCTTATTATCATAGCTAATCTTGTAAATTTTATAGCTGTTTTTTTAGAAAAAAAAGTGCATATGATTGCTTTTTTTTCAAGTCTCAACATTTCTTATCTCTGATTACAGCCAATATCAAAGGACAAAAGTTAATCATAGCAAAGCATGAAATAAATGGTATGAAAAAACAAGAATTATCTTTATAGTTGATAGAAGCAATACTTTAAAATGTTTATTTAAAATAATAATGGCTTCAACTTAAACAGTGGGATCATATCAAGCGTGAAAAAGTATTTTGAATCCAATTTTACTAATTTTTATTGAAAATATTTCTTTAACCAGCTCACCAACCTAGACTATAATTAATTCAAATTACTCAACACGAAATTTTTTACTTTCAATGCTACCTTTTCATATTTTTTGAAGCAAAAAAATTTTTTCTCTAATATATTTTTGACATTATCCAATCATGATAATTTCAAATTATGTACTTTCCTTTCTCATTTTTTTTTCCTTTTTCCTTTTTTTTCGATCTATCATTATTATTATCTATTGCCTTATCTTATCCAATTACATATTACCCTGTCTAATAATTGATATTCATGATTAAAGTGTACATGATATGTACACAAATTGATAATAATATGTAATGATATGTACATTATCCCGTTATGATAATTTCAAATAAATAATAATGATATGTAATAATTTCAAACTAATAATGATATTATGATAGGGATTCGAAGTTAAATTTATGAAGCCTACTTATTTACTCATTCTAAAATCTTAAGCGTTCAGAAATTAGTGATTTGCCTCAAAGCATATTTTAGCTGTTTATTCGTTTCATCATATTCCGGAACGAAATTTAATAACAAATCTGAAAAGTGTATAATTTTTAGATAGAAGCCAAAAGAACAAAAAAATAAAATGCTTTCTTTATCGTATCTTTCCTTGGCTCTACTTCTCATTATATCTGTAGTTCAATCATTCGTCTTGCAAGAATTGCCATTAAATCAGCATTTGTTAAGGAGACTTAATCAAGATTTCGATGCAGTCGAAGATCTCCAACGTTACGTACCAAACTATCAGGTAAGCTTTTTCACCACATTTCATCACTTATAAAATACAATAAGTTAATCCAATATCACAAATATTTTGTCCTCATTTTATTGTAATCATATTTGTGCTTCATAAATGCAACCTTTGCATCTTTTTTGTACACTGCGATATTGTTTTAAATTGGTAAACATTGATGAGAATAGACAAGCCCAGTGGAGATAACCGATCTTTACATTAATGTTCAAACCCTTATATGATCCATTTTAATTTGCAATACTGCTAAATGCTTTGGGTTTTTGTTTCAGATGATTCAGGTTTCACAGAAATATTAATGTAAAGATTTGTAATAAACGATCTGAAGACATTTGATGAACAAAATTTTCTATAAAAGCTCAGTTAGCATCAAACAACTGAACTGATGTTCACGCATTAGCTTTATATATTACTAAAATCCAGTGGGATGTACTATCTCAATTAAATTATTTACTGAGGGGAGCTAACTGTCAATACTGGCAATGAAATCAATGAACAAAAGCAGTAATTTTATTAATGAATGGATCAACAAAATGATTTGTTAATAAGTTTTAAATCCCATGGATAAATTCATATCCTCTCTCTATGAATTGCACTAGACAGTTGATCCCAATCCAATTATCCGAACATTCCGGCCTTATTTGAATGTCTTTAAATTTTCCTGATTTTGCTCACATAAGCTTGCTTTGTTACAAGGTTCATTAATCATAAAAGAGAGCATATCAATAAAGCCATATCTATTTGATTTATTTCTTGATGACAACAGTTAGAATGCCAGAAACGCTGAACAGCAACAAGATGAAATACCGTAACAAAAAGAACTGTACACAACATCAGTCCACCAATGAATAAAGGAATTACGGAAATTCATATTTTTTTCAAACTGTTTACAAAAAAATGAAATAGTAGAAATTGAAAAGATTTAAATTGAATTTCTGAATAGATTTCTGCAGCAATAAAGTAAACAGTAACCTAACGACCAAAAAATTGTCAGCTAACTTGCTGAAGTGCGCAAGTACTCAAAAAAAATGAAGAGATATGAGGTGCATAAATCTTCAAACGAGATTTACCTCCCAAGTGTCATTTGAAAAATAAACTGTGATATAACATCATTTCTTTAACCTGCACTATTTATAAACACTTAATGGAATGGAAAACAGCAACAATCAAAAGTCGACTCCTTCATGTCTTCAACATCGATGAACTTATCTACCACAAGTATTATACGAGATTTCCTGGTGTTATACGATAGCCTTATCAAAAATAAAAACCAGTTCATTTCGAAATCTGCCCTAACACATTTTGATATTCCCCCGCTTATAACTATCAGACAGCAAAATTAAAAAAATGTAGACGGAACGAAAGTTTCGGATCAGAATGAAATACCATCATCCCGAAAGTGTTTCGATTGACTACAATGCAATGAAAAGCAGTAAAAAACTGAGGTCAAAACAAAATTACTGCTCTGAATTTTATAGAAAAGTAAACAAATGATGAAATAGTTAACGTTTACGGATGCAACGTCAAAATTCAATAGAAATTTTATCAACTATAAAGTAAAACTGGAATTACTTTCGACGTCTGTCAGCTTCCTGTTGCGTAGGTGGTGGTGGTGGACCTTTCTTGTCTAACTCTTCCAAATACTGCTCAAGCAATCGTTCCCGCTCTACTGGAGCATTATTCAATACGATATATCGTTTATCATTCTGAAACAATGTATAATAATCCTATAACGTCTCAACGCCAAAAACACATGAGTAACCAATATTGAAAAATAATTACAAAAAAGAAACAAGTGATAAAGGAAAACGAATGATAAGTCAACTGCTGTTATCACATCTAAAAGCCTTCAACAAGATTAACAATGTGGAACGCCGAAAAGGTAGAAAGTGTCCGCAAATTCAAAAGAGGTGTCAAATTATTTACTTCCTGCTCATCCGCGAAAAAACATTTTGATCATAACCAACCTCAAGTACAGCAAGTATGTCACGAAGATGCTGTTCATTTTCTTGTATCATTTTTAAAGATTTGTACGTGATAATCTTAGTCTCTTTTAATAAATCTTTGAAATCCTTCATTACGGCTTCTTTTCGCTCCTCCATCCACTCTTTGTAGTCACGTTCCGTCTTCTAAATAATATTTAGATTAAAATCGAAAAAAAAACAAATTAAATAAAGCAATTCGCTTTCAACTTACTCTAGTTAAAGCTTCATTTTATTTCATTAAAATCAACTTTTTTCAAGTAAAAGCGATCAATCTTCGCTTATTTCTACCTACTCATTGATATAGGTGCAACGTAAATTCAAGACTGCTGAAACCAAGCAGAGAACAAATTTCATCAGTATGTGAAACAATATAAAAGAACTAAAATCATTTTTTCCTATATGGACGATAGCCCTATAATTTTATAAAAACTGAAATGACTCAAAAACCCGAAAAGGTAATAAATAAAAGAGTAAAAACAATACCCTTTCACTAATATTGAATTTTGCGAACCGTTCATCCTTCTCAATAATTTTCTTAGCTTCGCGCCATTTCATACTAGGTGTAATATCTTTTGTTTCATTTAATAACTGCAATATATGTAATTAAGCATAAATAACCGAAGTTTTACAGTTCACAACAGCATTCTGAAAGTGATTTTATCACATTCCTTTATTTTGCAGCGTTAAAAAAGTAATCTCTCTTGATCTAATAAGTAAAGGACTCAGAAATTTTAAATACGCAAAAACAAATAGTAACCTCAAAAATGAAGGAAAATCAATAAAAACTAACCTGGAAAAAAACTTCTCGTCTTTTCCTCTCCAAGTGTTGAACATGTGCATCAAACAACCTTTCTTTAGCATCTTTTTCCAAAAGGTCGCAATTTTCATAACGTGAATCTTTCCGCAAAATTCGGCGAGCTTCATGCCACGTGTAGTCAGCTGATTTTATCTGCAAAATCGGATAGACTTTTGATGAAAACCAAAGGAAGTTATTTAAATTAAAAGCCTCATTGCTCAAGACGTTGTTATAGTTATTCGGTCATTATAACATATTTGATTACGATAACAAGCATCTGCAAGACAAGATCAGAACAGTGAAAGCAAATTAATTCAGTAATTTACCAGATCAATCAGCAAAGCTTTAAATGATTCTTCATGCTCCTGATATTTGTGCTTTTCATGCTCTTTACTTCTTTCTTTTAGCTGTTCACCTAACTCAGCTTCCACCTCCTTCTTACGTTCTTCGATAGCAGCCTCGGCAGCAACACGCTTTTGACGGTCATTCTCCTCCTCAATATCCTAAAATTTAACGATTTCCTTATCCAAATAAATATTTGATTTTGGTTCCATTTGAGTCTTATATTCATAAATTATGCCTTCGTTATTACTAGTTCTCAAGCTTATTATGTATTTAAATATTATTCAATAAACTTCCACCACTAAGGTAACAAAAATCAAATACACTTTGATGTCCAATATTTTTCCTTTCAATTTCAGATGAATATATTAAACCAAATGTTCCCATATCTAAGTGAATGGAGGAGGAACCGCACATTCTAACAACAACAGAACTAAATAAATAAGAAATATTACTGAATTAGATTCTTCTGGCAGTGTATCCTGGTATTCACGGAAAAGACTTTCACGACTTGAAGATCGATCAACGGCTTTGTAACGTTCATCATCTTCTAACTGCTTCTTCAATGAGGACCATTTCGTCCGAGAAGTAATATTCTTTTCC